CCGGAGTCCCTGGGCCCAGGTGCAGCGCTGTCAGGAAGTGCCTCTGATGGGGCAGCTTCACTGGCGCCTGGAGGCTGGATGAAAGGGTGGTTGTCCCCCTTCTTCAGGCAGCTCAGTCTCTGCTCCCCTGCCCTGCCCCCGAGGAGGAGGAGGAGGTGCCGTGGCGCTGATGGATATGCCGAGGCTGGGCTGCTGCGCCCAGCACTGTCACCGTGCTTTCCCCACGTACGCCGGAACCTGACACCCTGACCACTGAGGCATAAAAAACAGAGAATTGGAAGTATCAGCCTGTCAGGCTGGGAGTGGCCCCCAGAGAGGCCTGGGGAGGAGTGCACGTGTGTGTGTGCATGCGCGTGCGCTCTGCCTGTGCTTGCCTGTGGAGTAGGGAGGTGGAGAAGAGGCTGACTGGGCCCAGGGGTTGAGAGCAGCTGGCCCCTCAGGCCTGCTCTATTGTTCCGGCCACACCTGGCCAAGCCCCGTGGGCCCTCCATTTGGCCCTAGGTTGCTAGGGGAAGAGCAGTGTTCTCATCCTGACATCTGGCTGGTCCCTTCGGGGGACTCCTGCCCTCTGGCCCTTTGGCATCCTTAAGAAGAATCTGGGAAGCTTGTTTGAGCTGAGGGTGGTCCCATGGGCTGTGTAACTCCCGCCATCACTGCCAGGGAGGGGCCCACGTGCTTTTTAAGCCACTCAGCAGGCAGCTGCTGACATAACCTGTGCCAGGCACTGGGAGACTCTGTAATGAGTCAGGCCCAAACCCTGTGCTCTGGGAGCCCCCAGCCATAGGGAGGAGACAGCAAGGTTGTAAAGGAAAGAATTTTGAACTCCCTTCTTTATGACTGGCTGGTGGTAAAGAGGCTCTCCTGGAGCCAGAAGTGAGAGCACAGGGAAGTGCCAAACACAAACATCACTGCTCCATGAGCAGCTGGACAAGAGGTAACCGTCCTCAAGTTTCACCATGCCTCCCCACCTGGCACAGCTGCAGTTTCTACCCGAGCACAGCTGCCCCTTCCTGAATGCCTAGAAGGCCCCCACCCATTCCCTCTTCTGCACTCCTCTAGACCTTTGGCTTGTCCCTTCATCTCAGCAAAGTACCACCTGCCTCCTCCTGACAGAGGGCCTGATTTTGTGTCTCATCTTTTCCATTGGCTGCGGCCCGGGAGTAGCCACCTCTGCGTTCTCAGCAGAGGATCAGATTAGAGTTGAGGTCACCTTTGGCTTCTCGGTCCAGAGCCACTCAGGAAATGCATGGGAAGTGGAACTAAATCTCACTGGGGTCCTGGAGTGGCTTCAGGAAGGGCTGAGAACCAGGCAGTCTGGAGCTTTGAACTTGGGTGAGTGTATCGAGGCCATTTTGTGAGAGACTCTTGGCATCAGTCTCCTCACCTGCAGAATGGGCCAATAATCCCAGGGAACACTTGGTATGTGGTAGTTCCATGTGAGGGGCTGGTATTTACTTCCGCTAATAAGAAAAAGGTTATGGGGGAAATCTAGACAATGCCAGTGACAGTCGTTCACTGAATAAGGGTGTAGACTAGACTTGCTTTATTGGTTACAAAAGTACCTGCAGTTTATGTAAGAGGCAAATGCCACTGGCATTTTCAAACCTGCTTTGACATTTGGTTCCTGTTTCTCTTCCGCCCACCCCATGCAGGAAGTGAGTTTTCTGGGAGCCCCTACAGCCACCCTCAGTATCCCTCCTACAACGACTCCTGGAGGTTCCCCAACCCGGGGCTGCTTGGTGAGTACTGGAGAAGACCCTGCAGGGCCCTGGGCCATCGGCTGCCCCATCAGGCCCCCTCGGTGGGCCAGGGTCCCTCGATAGCCTGAGACCCGGTCTCTGAGGTGGGGTGGGAAGCTTGCCCCAGATACATGCAATATGGGAGTTGTTCTGGGGCCTTAAAACAGTAAACATCACTCCAGGCCTGCGTGGGCCCTTCTCCCTTCCCCTCATGGTGGATAAGGGGAAATGGCACAAAAGGGGAACAAAGACAAAAAGGGCCCTGAGGCAGAAAGAGGAAGGTGGAGAAAGTGCCTGCCCAAGAGTAACTTATATTTCTTAAGACTCATTGAATATTCAGATGAGAAACCTCTAAATAAGAGGCAGAAAAGAGGCCAACTCAGATTGATTGGTAGTGGCTACCTATCTTCCTAAGTGCTCTGAGGCCTGTTGATTGATTAGCGATATCTGCCATGGACATCACCACAGCCAGCTCCATTGGAAACTGGTTTGCCCTGTGGCTGAAGGCCTGCTAAGGCATGCCACTGAGCTCATTTGGTGCCCAACCTTTCTTTGCCCAGGCCTCAGACTGGCAGATTGTCCATGCCTGGGGCCAGCTTGGTCAATGAACGTTATCTAGATATTTGGGCCAACCAAAAGACCAAGCAGGGCTACCTCAGCCCTCAAAAGGCCAAGGAGAGCCTTTTGTCTTATTGAAATGAACTTACAGGAAACCAGTGTGCCAGCTGAAGACTCTGGATCCTGAAGCAAGAGCCTAGGGCTGTAGATGTCACTCACTACCTGGGACTAGAGCCAGCCAATCAGCTTGCAGACGGAACTCTGATCCCTCCTCGAAGCAGTTAGCTAGAGAATTCCCTTAAAGGCCAGACACGGAAGGGCCTCTGAGACTATCCAGGTTTGTCTCTCCAGCTTAACAGGGTCTGCTTAAGTAAGAACCTGTTAATTCCCTAGATCCTGAATTATTTTAGGACTGAGAACCATAGACTTCATCAGAAAAGCAAGAACCTGGTGAATTCAAACTCAGCAGGAGTGTTTACGCTCAAGCAGCCCTGGTTGTGTGGCTAGGTGTTGTTCCTGGCTGTGTGTCCCACTCCTGTCTCTTTGGTCCTTCCAGAGATTCTGCAACCCACAGGGTATATGGCACCAAGGGGGCCTGGGCCAAGCTGTGGGAAGGGTTTCTAGTGATGAGGATGCGACCCCAAGGAAGCCATGTTGACCTAGGACTTCCTCATATGGCTATGCACTGCCCAAGGGGATAAACGGGGCTGAAGTCCAGCCCATGTATGGCACAAAGCTCTGAACCCTGGCACAGGGCTACGGCTGCCCAGAGTGAGCATTTTTTTCTAATTCTCTTGAGGTGTCCCATAGGCTCATTGCCTGGGAGATCAAGAGGCAAAGAACGGCAGAGAACTGTGCAAGAAGCTACTCAGGAAGCTGTGGCAAAGGGATGGAGTAGGAGGTGGTTGGTCTATGGGGCCACAGATGGAGGACCTTGAATGCCAGACTGAGAAGTCTGGACCGATTGTGTGGGCAGTTAGGAGCCCAAGGGCATGGCGAGGGAGGGTGGGACTAGACCATATCTGAGGCTTTTGCTGCTCAAGCTGGAGTGAGATCCAGTTCATATCCTCAATCACTAGATGTGGGCTGTGTGCCTCGTGTGGCTGTGTCTCCAGGGAGCTCACAGCCTGGGGTGAGGGAGCTTTGAGGAAGTGTGTCTGTGCTGCGAGGTGCCCAGTGCCTTGAGGGGGGCCGGAGCCAGTGTGGAGAGGAGAAAGAAGGATCAAAACTCTGTTCCTCTAAATGAGCACTTGCTAATTATGCAAGGTCTAGGCAAAACCCTTCATGTGTGTTATCTTATTTTATCCTTTTAACAGCCCTAGAAGGCAACCTACTATTACCTCCACTATACAGATGAAGAAAGTGAGACTCAGAAAGGTTAATTAACTTACCTGAGGTCACACAGCATGCAGATGGCAGAATGAGGAACCAAACTCAGGTCACCTGGATTCCAGAGCCTATATTCATAACTAGTGTGATGTGGTGCTCTTACTTCCCCGACCAATTCAGTCTGAACTACAGCCAGAAAGAGAGGCCTCATCCCTCCATAGGAACAAGCCTTGAGAGTTCTAAATACTCAGATCATGTATGTGACGAGAACAGCTGTGGTCTGTTTTTGAAAGCCAGGTTATTGTATTTAACTGTCAGGCTTTCAGTTGCAAGCAATGGAATCCACTCTGGCTGGTTTAAGCAGAAAACAAATTTATTAAGGGATTTGGGGGGGCGGGGTTCCCAGAGTCTCTGGGAGGACCAAGGAGACAGGAGTGGGGCACACAGCCAGGAGCCACACCTAGCCATACCACCAGGGCTGCTTGAACCTAAGCACTCCTGCTGTTGCTAGTTGGCACCCCCAAGAAGCATGCTCTATGCTGCTGCTTCAGCCAGGGTGCTTGAGAGCCCTGCGCTGCCACCGCCCGGAGCTGGATGCCTTTGCTACCCACTCCCAACAGATGGAGTCTCTCAGCCCACCTCCTCAAGTTGCTCCCTTCCCAATCAAGGTCATATGCAAGAGAGTCTAATTGGCAGAGCCCAGGTGAAACACCTGTGCCCTAGCAGCAAGGGAAGCTGGGAGAATGAGTTCTGACTTCCCCCTCAAAGAGATAGGCCTCATCCTACAGGAAACAAGAAAAGTTTAAACAATGCTGGGCAGTTGCAAACATGAGGAGTGGCCCCTGTGCTGCCCAAGTCTATAACTTGGGGAATCACAGCCAGGTCATCAACCAATCTGGGCCTCAATTACCTCAGGTGTAGAACAAGGATAATCGCCCCTGGCAGCTTTATTCAAGCAGGAGCTGAACACGATGCTGTCTTGAGGCCCACTTTCCTGAAGATGAGTGAGATGCCAGGCTCACTCTATCATCGTCTTGCAAATAAGTTTCAGGCCCTTTCACATCTACCAGCCTGCCCTTCCCACAGAATGTCTTCAGGGTTTTAGCTGGATGAGTGCCATGGGGCAGAAGTAGATTGATTTCTGCTGTCTGGGGAGGGTGCCAGGGTGTGGAAGCCCGCCCTGAGGCTCCTTGGTATTCCTGCTAGATCACTGGGAGCTGTGGAAACAGATGAGACCCTCCACATGCACATTCCCAGGTGCTCACGCCCTCATACACACTGCCCAGCTCTCGGTTGGCCTGGCTGAAACCTCCTTCACATAAACATCACCAAAGTAAGGATGGGCAATGCCACCTAAGGAAGCTGCACGCTCACTTTTCAGGGGAATTTCTCTCCCCGCTGAGCTTCCTCTCCAGGAGCTGTCTGCCCAGTCAGAGGGGTGGTGACCCAGCATGCTTAGTAGGGGAGTAGGGGGTGGGTGCAGCGGGGCAGGAAGGGAAGGAGGCAGGAAGAAAGGCAGCAGTGGTCAGTTAGGATTAGAATGGGACTGCCTGTGGCTGCTGTAAAGGGATTAGAGAGCGAGTGGGAGCCCCGAATGACTGTGTCAAGAAGTAAATTGATGATAATGTGAATTAGAGAAGAAAAATGACAGAAGAAAGGACAAGTTTATTCTAGATGGAGGTTTAATGGGCACCAGGAAGACAGAGTGCTCTGTGAAGTGATGTTTTCATTTCTCACAGTAAATGCAAGCGTTTTTGATTTTGCTGTGGAGACTTCATGCTGAGGCCGCTGGACAGCCTGGCCAAGAGATTAGGCTTTGAGAGGAGAGTGAGCCAGAGCTGAGAGTGAGAGGTGGTCGGTGGGTGGGCGACTTGGAGAGCCAAGTCAGGGTCCTCTGAGGAAGCTTATTTCCATTTCCCATTCCTTGAAGCCCATTTGTGAGAGCAGCCCCTATGGTTTTCTTGTTCCTGTGCCATGCCCAGGCCTGCAGAGATGGCATGCGCGCGTGCGCACACACACACACACACACACACACACACGGGAGAACCTGGGTACCTCTGAAGGCATGACACAGGGCTGGCATTACAGATGCTGTGTGGGTGACTGTTCCTACACCGTCGTCATCCCACAGAAGAGAGAAGGCAGACATTGACAGTGTCTCTGAGTCAAGGCTCTGACTAGGGAGGTGACAGCGGGTAGCAAAAAAATCCATCTCTGAAAATACTTAGGCATTAGGTGGGAACTCACCTGGGTACCTCTGAAGGCGTGACACAGGGCTGGCATTACAGATGCTGTGTGGGTGACTGTTCCTACACCGTCGTCATCCCACAGAAGAGAGAAGGCAGACATTGACAGTGTCTCTGAGTCAAGGCTCTGACTAGGGAGGTGACAGCGGGTAGCAAAAAAATCCATCTCTGAAAATACTTAGGCATTAGGTGGGAACAGCACGGCAAGGCATTGCCTGCTCCTCCACTGTCATTGCTGCCTGAGCCATACTGCCTCCCTGGGGGTCCAGGGGAGAGAGCAGTATATCTGCTCACTGGGGCTGGGTTTGGAGGGGCAGTGGCACATGCTACGGTGCCTCCCCGAATCTCGCCTCTTGATTACATACTAGCTATATGACCTTAGGCAGGCCACTCAGTCTCTTTGCGCCTCAGTTTCCTCCTCTGCTAAATAAGGACAATACTCGTTCCTACCTGATAGAATTGTTGTGGAAATGAAAACAGTTCGTGAATATCAAGTGCTTAGAAAAGCACTCTCATATCCTTATGTCATGGTGCCCTCATAAAGCCTTTACTGTGGCCCCTTTTACAGCGGAGAAAACTGAGGTTCAGGGGAATAAAGCTACTTGTTCAAGGTCACTCAGCCAAGAGTGATGGAGCCTGACTGGCATTCTCCAGGTCTTGATGCCTAGTTATGGTATCTGGAATAATTGCCAGTATTGGTTTGGATTTGGGTGAGATTTCAGAATCAGCGAGTTAGCCCCGCCTGGGGAATTAAGAAGCTGGCTATTCCCACCCAAGCAGGCACATGGTCTACAGTGGCTCACAGGACCCTAGCTGCTGTGTGCTTGGATAAGCATGGTCCTCCAGCCTCGGTCGAGTGTACAGGCTGTGAACTGTGTCTGGTGGGAAGAGTCCCGGGCCAGGGGCAGAAAACCTGAATTCCAGGCCGGGCTCTAGCACTGAGAAGCTCTATGGCTTTGAGCACATGACATTAGTTTGTTGAGCCTCAGTTTTCCTACCTGTAAAAGAAGAAGATGGCCTAGCATCTCTAACCTCTGTAGTTCTAAAAATCTGCTGGTCACCTGGAGCCCCTTCATACTCTTCCATCTGTAGGGAGGAGTTTGAGCACAAGGCAGGCTCCTGGAGGCCCCATCCAAAGTGCCTCGTCAAATAAAGCAGCCCAGAGACAGCGGGAGGAGCCCAGCATGGGTACAGGGCCCTCACTCTGGCCCTGTCCGGAAGTTAGAGCAGGCAGGCTCCACCCAGCCTGACCCACCTCCTCCAGAAAGCCTGCCAGCATAAGCTTGTGTTCCCGAGCTCTTTTCTCAGAGCTCCAATCCCCTTCCTGCCTCTGACCATTGGCCTCAAGTATGAGGCTGCGGGCACAGAGTCGCCCTCCAACCTCCATGCCCTCTTCTCTGTCTTCCAGGCTCCCCGTACTATTACAGCGCTGCTGCCCGAGGAGCTGCCCCGCCGGCAGCCGCCACTGCCTACGACCGTCACTGACCCTTGGAGCCAGGCAGATGCCAAGCACTTATGACACAGATCACTGAGGGCGATAGCCTCCCAGCCCCCTCCAAAGACAACCAGAGGGGCCCAACGAGATCATCCCCCAGCCGCTCCCCGCACTCACCTGAAACTTCATCCCTCCCTTTTCCTGCCAGGGCTTCTGGGGTTCTGTGGTAGGGCTGCTAGACTTCTGGACACCTATCCATTTCTGAGAGTCAATCGATGCGCTCCTCCCCACTGTGACGGAGTGTCCACAAACCAAGAGACTGTTCTGCAGACAACTGCAGCCCCAGCCCAGCCTGCCAGTCCCCCAGTTGTCTTTCCTGCCCCAGGCCCGGAAGGAGAGCTTGCTATCGTCACTTCTACAACACCCGTGTAAATACCTTTTTGCTTTTTTATGGTCCTGAGGTCCACCTGAGCAGACCGCCCACCTGTTATGTGTTCAGCACTTCCAATGTGTCCCAGGATGTCTTAGAACCTGTGTGCAGAGGGTCCCCTCTGCCCTGGGTGCCCCCAAAGAGTGAGCTTGAGGTTACTTGTGAGACTGAGGGTGCCTACCTCGGAGCTCCAGCCTCCTGCTCATCGCTATTTCTTTAATGTCTTGACTAGGAGTCTCACTGGGCTGGTTATGCTCCAAGCCTCCACCCTTGAGACTCCTCCTCAAGAGAAACATGCTTTGGGAAGATACCCTGGCTTCTTGCCTCCATTTCCCTGGGCTGAATACAGTGCGAACAGCTTTTTTCCATATATCGAAGGACTCAAAGAACTGTCTGGGAGATCCCTCAGCTACTGTTCTAAAGCAAGGTGCCGTCTGAGATGCTGATTGCATGGTGGACTTTGAATGTCAGGGCTGGATGGGACCCAGGAGATCACGGTTCAAGGTGGGGCCTGAGGTCTGAGGCTCTCTTGACCTCCCCAGCCCCTGGAACCGCTCACCTAAACTGGGATGTGTTTCTGAGGTGTTCCCAGGCTCTAATCACTTTGGATACCTACCATAGACACTGCCCCCTCCTCCAGGATCCCAACCAGTGGATTCTGGGCAAGCCTGTCCCTGCCATGTAGACAGTGATTAACAAAGAGGACTTTGCCCGCACTGAAGACCACACACATCTGCAGCAGTCAGCTAGAACTTCCCGATCGGCCCTTCCCTGTCCTTGTGGAGCCTAGCATGCAGCTGGGAATGAAGGTACCTGGATGGGCGAAGATGCCTAACTTTGCATAGTGGGTATTCGCCTGTTGACACAAAGGGCCATGATGGTCAGGGCCTCGGGAGCTTGGAGGAGTTGGAGAAATCACTGTGGGCTGGAGTGGTCAGAAAAAGGAGTCTGGGAGAATTTGGGGCACAGAGAAAGGCCTCCTGGGAGAGGGGCAGGGCAGGCAGTGAGGAACAGGTGGCAAACTGGGAGTGGTCTTGAGATGAGGGTGCCGGGGGCCACCATCTCTTTGCCTGGGGCCTCAATTCCATGCATAGTCTGTCTCTCTTGCCAACTCACAACAGCCAGGTAGAGGCTCTGTCCAAATCTTGGCTGAATTATAGCAATGACAGTGGACTTTGCCATCTCATATGACAGTGTCTCTGACGTCTGCATGTCACCGTGTTGGCAGAGAGCTGGGGCAGAGAGAGCCCACACTTGAGATTATTGGCCCTGAGAGGTCTTGTCCTGGCTATACCTCTGCCTTGTTATAGGACCTCAGACAAGATCCTTCACTTCTCTGAGCCTCGCTTGCCTTGGTACAGCATGGTCACCCGCAGAGTCACCTGGCAGCTCTCTCCTTCCTTCCTCACTCCCAGGAAGCTGGGGCAGGCCCTCCACTGCTGAGCAAGCATGTAGGGGCGGGCACCTGAGTCCCGCTAATATTCGGACCAACAGGGAAACAGGAGCGCCCAAAGAGGTGGGGATGAGCCTTGAGGAAGACCTAGTCCAGTTCCCCTCAATGGAAACTGTAGTCCAGCTGAGGGAAACCCAGGACCACACAGGGAGACAGAGTAGACCTCTGGCCACCACCAAGTGTTTCCTCCCCAACACCTCTGCAAGGTGGTGGGACAAAAGAGGAAACTGAGGCTCAGCAAGGAAGAGTCCTAGAGTCCCCAGGCAGTGACTGGCAGAGATGGGGCTGGGACTCGGCTTCTAAGCCCTGGCACATGGTAGAACTCTCATCCCTGGGGAGAAGCAGACAGTGAGAGCAGCAGGAGATGGTTCTCAGCCCACTGCCCCAGATGGGATGTCCTGGGGCTGTTAGAACTGCTGAAGAAGCCCATTCACCCAGAGTGGGGGTGGAACTGGTAAGCACACCCACCCCCTGGAACCTGCTGTGCAAAGAAGGGAGGTAGCTGAAGCCAGAGCCCACTTCTGGGAGCCAGGACTGGCTCTAGCCCTCAGCTGCCAGGCAAGGGAGGAGAAGGTATATGATCTGGCCCCTTGCTCCCTTCTTCAGGAAGTTGTGAGTGGATTTGGGAGTCTGCAGTACAGGCCTCTTGGCCTCTTGCACCCATATCCTTGGATCCTGGTCCCTCCTGTGGTCTCAGGCTGTTGGAGGAGGTCTACCTTCCCTGAACCGGCTGCCTAAGGCACATATCATCCTTCCTCAGTAAAGCCAACATGGGCCCATGTTTGCCCTTCAGCTCATTCTGTTTCTTCTCAGCCCTGTGATGAGCTCCCTCCATGCCTTTCCTCTCTCCCCTGAGGCTCTGCTGGTCCTCAGATTGCATTTGTATTTATTAGACAGCCACTCAATTACTGGGCTGCCAGGCAGAAGCACAAGAGCACTCGATGCACATGCACGTTCTCACACTCGTACCTCCTCTCACCCGCTGAGTTCCCATGCTGCTTGGCAAAGCTGCCTTGGAGCTTGGAGAGGAAGGTGCCACAGGACACCAGCCCCTGATGCCAGAGAATTCTGAATGGAAAACACAAGGCCAGGGCTTTCACCAGCATCGCAGGCAGGAGGCTCAGGGTGTTCCTCCATGGGCCTTCAGTCCTGTGTTCTAGCTCTGACTTTTTGAAAAGGACTTTATGGATTTTATGAAAAAATTTTATACCATCAATCTAGCTCCAACCTAGAAAAACTCGATGACATATCAAAGCCAACATCCCTTCCTCAAGTCGCCTTGGTTACAGTTAGCCCTTTCATAACTGATGTGTGTACAGTACTTTGCAATCCTTGACCATCCCCTGGGACAATTGCCGTTCCTGTTTTACAGATGGGAAAATTGAGAGTTGGGGCTCACGGGGCAAGATAGAGAGGAAGCGAATTGTTAGATAGTAGATCTCTGAGCCCCATTGTCTCTCCACAGAATCATGCTCCTGTCATGGGAGAGTATGGCTTAGAGACACCTTTTAACCCCCTGAAAAACTCCCAGACTCACAAGGAGGAAAGAAAGAACAGGAGCCAGAGGCTGGCCTGACAGAGAGGCCTGAAAGTTGGTGGCTTTGCTGGTCCAACTTGATTCTCGTTAATGTGGAAACCTGCAAAGTCTTTGCCCAGATTCACGCCAATGCTTCTGTCTCATCCAAACTCTGTTCCTGCTGTGCCCTGAGGCTCAGAGGGGATTGGAGCTCGTCCAGCCCACACCACAAACCCTGACAAGGCCTGAAGGTGGGCCCAGCTCTTGACTCCCAGGGTCTAGGGCTCCAGTGTCATAAGATTTCCCCTCGCTCTTTTCTTTATCCTTCCTGCTGTGGATCAGACTCTAGGCCTGGCTTTGACCATATTTAGGAGTCTCTGAGCAAGGCCATCGGGGCCATCGGAGTGTCCACAGGTTTAGGAAACACAGATCACAATCTCAAGAGCCCTGAACTAACTGCTTCCCGGGCCAGGCAGGTGAGGTAACCCTGCTACCTGGTTGGGGCACAAGGCAGCATGGGTGATGGGACCCGAGACCCAAAGAGTGCTTACTCCCTCCAATAGCATTCACGTGTGAAAGCTTTTAAAATGCTCTATCAGCCAAAAAATATGCCTATGGCCACTAGCCACCAGCTCGTGACCCCCAGTCCTTGTCCAGTGCCCCCTTTCTTCTTTGCCTCTTTGCTTTTCATTGCAGTTTTGGGGGAGATAGGAGCCCAGATGGATGAGCTTCAGATTGTCCAGCCCCTGGTCCCTGCCCCGCTCTCTTGCCATCCTGGGCTCTTGCAGACTGTTTTGGCTTTGAAGGTAGGAGAGTTTGAATGTCAGAGGTGGGGGATGGGGGACTCTTGACATTGAGGGTAGATCAGTGCTGCTGGGGCCTTTCACATGTGCAGGGAAAAGCCCCAGATGTGACCACAGGGCACTGAGGGGTGAAATCCCTTTATGAGAAGCCACATCCCCAGAGCAACTTCCCTGCCTTTGGCAGTCTCTGGCATCAGCCACCCGCTTCTGGATGACATTTCAGATAGAATTTAGCTCCAAGACATAAGGAGCAAATCTTAAAAACAAACCAAGCACTCCTGACAAATACCTGGAAACAAGATATGTCTGAGATTGTGCTGCCCTGAGAGTAGGGAAAAATCCAGGTGCAGGGATTTTTAGACCAGGCCCAGGCTGGAGTAGGCGGATCCCACCACACCCGGGTGGCCCTGCTGAGAGGCCAGCTCTGCAGCCTTGGCCTTGTCTCCCATCTGGGAGCCCGCCTCTGATGGTTTCCAGGCACGCACACCAGCACTCCTGGAGAATTTATTCCTTTAGTTCTTTTGGCCTCAGAGAGGTCCAAGGCAAGTGCATTTCTTAAAAGGTAACAAAGTACTTTATTGGAAAGTTGGACAGTCGGGCCATGACTCCTAGCTGGCAGTCTGCCCCACCTCCTGGCAGCCCCTTCAGCTCCTTGTCCCCTGATGTCCCCATACCTCAGGATTCCCTCTTGCATATTCATGGTGGAACCAGAGTGTTGATCCGCACTTCCCCACTGTCAGCTCACGGCTGTGCCTCCAAAGTGGCGGCCAGGTCCCCAGGGGCTGTGGCAGAGGACTAAAAGCAAGTCCCTGGCCGGCCTGATCTCCTGATGAGGGGGCTATGCTTCTACTACACAGCTGCTTACAGCCTTCCTTTCATCCGCTGTAATCCTCAGTAGTGGGGTCCTCCTGCTCCTGGAATCCCCCAGAATCAAAGGGGACCTCAGAGTTCTAGAGTTTCAGTTCATGTGTTCCAAAGGGTCCCGTTTAGCTCATCTCTGAGTCGAAAGTAAACATTACCACCATTCAGTGAGTCTAGATATTCTTCTTCCCATATCTTAGATTCCTGAGTGGTTCAAGGATAAAATGCAGCTGTTTATTTATTGAAAGAATCTTGACGAATTCTAAAATGGAGTTGGTCTCAGGTAGTGTGTTGGCCTGTGGGCAGGACAGCGCAAGCAGGAATCTGCCCTCCACTTTGGGCAGCTCTGAGCATGGTGCCGGGAGGGCAGTATGGGGAACACCAGTGGGGGGCGACTTGGGTTTATGAGCCCCCTCTCCAACGCTGAGGCCTGGCTGGAGAAGGCTAAGCTACAGTCCTACCCACCCCAACCGCCGGGCCCACCCCATCCTGTGACTATAGCCACCGGGCCGCCCTTATCCCCAAAATCACTCTGTCTGTGGCCACGCCCCTCATCGTCTCCAAAAGCACCATTAAGAGCAAGTGATTTTGGATGACGAGTTTTGATTTACAAACGGTGCACTTCCCTTGGAGTAGAACAGAAAGGAAACCATGTAATGGCTCCCTTACTTTTAAGCATGAATACATTTTAATGAAACTATTTTATTGTATTTGAGGAAATGGAGAGTTGAACATTCCAACCAATCAATAGCCAATTAATTGCTATAAAGCTAAAAAGAAAATAAATAAGTCCTGAGTCTATTCGAAACATGCCGCGAAGCTCCGAGACTCCAGATCTGGCCTTCCCCTCCACACGTGTGCATGAGAGT